GAGTCAAGGTCTTTGGTATGGGTAACTAGATATTGAGAAGCTTCATTCCAAGATCATAGAGGCTAGGCAAGGAACAAGTTTAAGTGAGTAGGCATGTGAATATTGATGGTGATGGAAATTAAGAGTTAGATTCAGCATTTATAAGTGTGATATGCTCATTCACATCCAAGTAAAGATACCAAGGTATAAACCTGAGTAATTTATATAATTAAATCATTCATACAAATGATTTAAATTAAGGAAGTAGGAGCCTCACCTCAAATGCCAATCACTTCTGGATGTCAACACAATGAACCAGTTATGTGCAGCTAGTATCATCTGTCAGTGTCAAGTCTGTTTGGACTCTCTTATTTTGTACTGAATGGAACTATGTGCTGCTTAATTTCTATGTCTTTAAAAGACAACAATATGGAAAGACACAAAAAGCGTCATATATCACCTTGACAAGTCACTCCAAAATTAGGATGCAGCTGTGACTCTCCCATCACCAAAGGCAGTGCATTAGATGTAGCTTTGAATCCTAACTCTGACTCTTTCTAGATGAGTGAATGCATAATTTTGGATCATAATTTCTGAAAGGCAGATTTTTAAAAAACATTATATAGTGATTCTTATTAGACATGATTTTACTCCCTTTGTGACATTTTGCAGGAGCAGTTTTTGTTGTGGCATGATTGTTATTGTTGTTAAGTGCCATTGAGTCAGTTCCAACTCAGAGCAACGCTCTATAGGGTTTCTGAGGAGAGGTGGATAAGGTTCAAACCAACCTTAAGATTCAGCTTGTATTCTAGAGTGCTATACCAGGACTCTGTTACATGATTAGTGAATAATAATACAGGTCCTGAAAATCCTATACAATGAAGAATTGTCCTGTATTTCAAACAACTGTTGAATGGTCCACTGTATGTATATGTGAAGATGAGAATTCTGATGAGATCCAATATATTACAATTGGTCCTATATATTACAATTCATAAGGGGAATACTTTATTTTAAATTATGTGTTTAAGTAAGTATATTATCTATAAATTTCACTTCAAGATCACAGGAAGTGTTTTACAAAGTACTTGGAATTATTCTGACCACATTGTGTTTGCATTGAGATCAATTGAACTCTAATGTGGTGAAAAGAGGGACTGCCTTTGGAGATGCACTTGGCCTAAGACTCATATTCCTAAAGGAGCTCATGTTTATACTTTCCAAAATATTATTACTGAATAAATTCATACATGTGGTCACAGATTCACAATGATAGGACTGAAAGATGTTTATCTTAAAATTGTGAACTTGGGCTGCTGTTGTTAAATGCTGTTGAGTTGGTTCCTGTTTAGGTTCCCAAGGAGTGGCTGGTGGGTTTGAACTGTCTCTAGTATATTATTAATTCCTGTTTTTGCAATCCACCACTTGCATGTCAGCTTGTTGTACTGTGGTGGCTTGTGTGATATTATGATGTTGGAAATTATGCCACCAGTGTTTCAAATACCAACAAGGTCACTCATGGTGGACAGCTTTCAGTGGAGCTTCCAAACTAAGACATACTAGAAGGAAGGACCTAGAAATATACTTCCAAGAAAGATTGGCCAGTGAAAATCATATGGGTGTCAGTAGAACATTGTCTGGTATAATGCTGGAAGATGAATATCTCAGGTTAGAAGGCACTCAAAATATGACTGGGTAAGATCTGTCTTCTCAAAGTAGAGTTTGTCTTAATGACATAGATGGAGTAAAGCGCTTGGAACCTCTGTTTACTGATGAGGCATGACTTAAAATGAGAAAAAGCAGCTGCAAACATCTATTAGAAACCAGAACATGTAATGCATGATGTATGAATCAAGGAAAATTGCAGGTTGTCAAAAGTGAAATGGAATCCATAAAGATTAATCTCCTAGGTATTAGTGAGCTGAAATGGACTGATACTGGCCATTTTAAAACAAATGATCATGGTCTGCTATGTTGGGAATGACAAACTGAAAAGGAATAATGGTACTTTCATAGTCAAAAAGAATATTTCAAGATCTATCCTGAAGTACAAGTCTGACAGTGGTAGGATAAGACCCCTAAACCTACAGGGAAGACCAGTCAATGCAACGATTATTCGAATTTACACACCAATCAGTAATGGCAACGATAAAGAAATTGAAGATTTTTTACCAGCTTCTTCAGTGTGAAATTGATAAAAAATGCAATCAATATGCATTGAAAATTACTGGTGATTGGAGTATGAAAGTTGTAAACAAAGAAGGATTGGAAGTTGGAAAATATCACCTTGGTGATATAAATGATGGCAGATATCACATAATAGAATTTTGCAATATCAAAGACTTAGTCATCAGAAATATATTTGTTCATCAACACAAATCGCTACAATCATGTGGACCTTGCCATATGAAATACACAGGAATCGAATTGTCTTCATATATGGAAAGAGATGATAGAGAGCTCAGTATTATTAGTTAGAACATGGCCAGGAGCTGACTGTAAAAGAGACCATCAATTGCTCACACACAAGGTCAAGTTGAAGCTGAAGAAAATTAAAACAAGTCCACAAGTACCAAAGTATGACCTTGAATATATCCCACTGAATCTAGAGATCATCTCAACAATAAATTTGAGGCATTTAACACTAATGATGGAAGACCAGACAAGCTGTGGAATGGCATCAAGGACATCATGCACAAAGAAAGCAAGAGGTCATTAAAAAGATGAGAAAGAAAAGACAATGGACTCTGAAAGTTGCTCTTGAATGTAGAGTAGCTAGAATGAGTAGAGAAATGATAGCATAAAAGACCTGAACAGAAGACATCAAATAGCAACTCAAGAAGACAAAGAAAGTATTATAATGAGGTGTGCAAAGACTTGGAGTTAGAAAATCCAAAGGGAAGAACATGCTCAGCATCTCTCAAGCTAAAAGAACTGAAGACAAAATTCAAGCTTTGAGTTGCAATACTGAATGAATAAACACTATGTAGCATCCCCATGAGTCAGAACTGACTTGAGGGCACTTAGCAGCAACAACAGGTAATTTTCTAGGCACTGGGGCCATGAAAACAAATGTTTCTGTCCTCATGACACTTGCATTCTACTGGAGAAAGAGATAATGCACAAATGTAGACTATATCAGATGCCATGGGGTAAAAAGTACATGCAACAGGAGGGTAGGGTGTTATAAGAGGTGGCTATTTTTACATGGGCTGACCATGGATGGCTTCTAATGGATTACCATTCGAGCAGAAACTAGGATGAATTGTGTGCTTGGCTCTTATGCAAACTGAAGTTTGGCTAATGGTTGTGTCTGCAGGAATACATTCACTTCCTGCAAGACAATTTGGTGTTAATATTTGGGCCAACATTTTATAAGATCCCAAAAGGATGTTAGTATTTGGGTCAACATTGCAGAAGACCCAAGAGTCCAAATGAATATTCCCCCCTCCATAATTTCTGCTAAGGAAGAAGGGCAAAGAAAGAACAAAGAATAAGAAAGGAAAGAAAGAAAAAAGAGGAAAAACTCTTAAAGTAAAAGAATAGAAATCAAAAGAAAGGATACTATCAAGGAAAGAAGAAGAACACATATGAATAAGAGGAAAACAAAAGGAGCAAAGGAGGGAAAAGAGGAAGTTGAGTGGTAGACCTCAATGTTTGGCTAAAAGTTCTTACTTGACTTTGGAAACTGTAAACTTGTGGAAGGCTGAATGGCTAAAACCTTCTTTCAAGGCCACTTCACCCATCCTGGTAACTAGATATGGTCAGTGCTCCATGGGTCTAAGATGAGGCTGCCTGCTCCCATAAAGATTTACAGTCTGCGTGACACTTTATTAGGTCGCTATGAGTCAGACACAATCCAATGGCTGTGGGTTTGATTAGTATGAACTGTGTAGAATAACAACCGGTGGAGTCCTCAGAAGACTGATAAAGCCAATAGTTTATCTCAGCTACTCTCTGCTATCCCAATTTAGACATGTGATCAAAATGTTAACATATTCTCCTGCTTATTATCATTACATTTTATCAATGCAACAATACTCATTTTAAAGAAATAACATTTCAGGTTTATTCCAGTACACCAGAAGTTCATCCTAGGAGGACAATGTTTGATTTGGCCACAGTTTTGGATAAATACTTGATTTAAAAATATTTGTATTAAGACCTTCCATTCAGCTAAAATGTGGAGGCATTTCTTAATATTGATCATTATTTTGTGTCACTGTGCTGTAACATTTGTTTTTGGTTTTATTTTAAATTATGAATTAAAGGAGTTACTTGTCAACTGTCAGCAGCTGTGCTTCAGGGCTCTTTATGCAGATTAGGTCTGAATGCTCTCTGTCTCTGAGCCAGGGAATAGGAAGTATTGCCTGAAAGATGCTGCACAACATAGACATAAATCTAACAGCCTAATTCTCTCCCTGACCCTGAAAAGAGTTTATAGAGGTAGCTGGAGAGTCATACATTATAATTACTCTGCTCAATTTATTTTTTGTTCAGATATTAAGTACACATTTTAAACACAGTTTAAAGGAGAAAAAGAGCCCTATCAAAATGTTTGAGAGAGATGGTTTAGGTTAGACATATTCAGATAACATTTAAATATATCTGGGATAGGGCCATAATTCTGACGGTAGAACCTAGAAAGAAATGATTAATGGCTTTCTTCAGATCACGCCATGATTCTTGTAAGGACCTATCGAAAAGCCTGAAACGAGCACTGTTTCACTGACTAATACCTACATAGTACTCAGAAAGAAAGCTGAATAAGAAAGTTGTTGTTGTTAAGTGCCCTTGAGTTGGTTCCAACTCACAGTGACCCTGATAGGGCTTCCAAGGAGTGGCTGGTGAGTTTGAACTACCAACCTTGTGGTTCAATCCGCCCTTGCACTTGAGTGCTTATCCTACAGCGCCACACCAGGACTCCTGAATAACAAAGTAGGAGGTGCAAAATTCTTAGTTTTTAAATAACAGAGTCCTGCCCAGGTATTGTCAATAACTAAAAACCCTAGAGTGAATGGTTAAACCAACACAAGCAAAATAGCAATGAACAGAAGAGGAATAGCAAGGAGCTTGAGACAATGGAAGAATAAGCAAGGCTTCTGAGGGCTCCCAACAACTCGTGTCTTCATGGGTTTTAGTGTTCAGTCCCACTGGGTCAGGATGGCCACTGGCCACTTCCCTGGTCCCACCAGCCTAAACTGGTATGCGCTGCAAGGGCCAAAGAAAACTTCCAAGGCTAATTTAAGATCTGCGAACAAAAGCCATAGGACACTGGGTTTTGCTCCAATAAAGGAGGCAAGTTCATCCATATAATCCGTCTGTATGGTCTCATTTTTGCCAAACCTAGAAGGAAGCAAGGAAATATCACCATGAATATCCAAGTTCTGTGCAGAAACAAGGACATTGATAAAAGCCCCACACCTTTTTATAGTGTAAACAGGAATTAATGTCAAGCCCTATATTAATAATGGGAACACTTTATATTATATATATTGTGCTTTGTAGTTTTTTTCTAAGATTTTCATACGGATCTCATCTGGACATTCCTCAACACTGCAAGGCAGCTGAGGAAGGCATATAGATTCCAGTGTACAAATAAGTATAATGCTTCTTGTTCAAGTGTAGTTGTGAGTTCATGGTCACTGAGCTACTTAGTGACAGACCTAGCACTGGATCTGAGGTCTCCTGACTCATATTCATTTTGCTGAGTCATTTTCATTAGAGGCACCAGTTTGAAGATAATTCTACGTGTCTTAGAAGAGTTGTGGGCAACAACACTGACATACACATTTCCTGACTTATAACTATTGAATTATTGACGCACAAGTGGTCCCAAACTCCTGTAACTTGGAATCCTTTTTAGGTGTCTTTGCTGTGATGTATGGAGGCGGGGGTGGGGGGGGAGGGTGCGGCATGGAGAGCTGACTCCAATGTCGGTTCTTTCTGTCCTACTATTTACTCTGTGTTTTGCAAGTAACAGGATTTAAGACACAATCACATACAAAGTAGATCCTCAGATAAGTATTTATTAGATGGATGAATTTAGATTATAACTGGACCCCCTAATGACATCACTCAGAGTCATTTAAGATGAAAGCAGGTCTAAGCATTCACAAAGTCTGACCTCTCTATGCAATTCCAGAGCCCCTTTATAATTGGTACTTTTACCATTTGAGCTTTGCGCCATTTTCTCATCAATATCACACATCATGTTTTCTACAGAAGGCAAAGTGCAAGTTCCTAAAAAAGATAATAGTTACATAACTCTGGCAAAGGCTCAGACTGGAATTTTCCACATGTGAAAAGTTATGAATCACATTAGTAATTCCATTTTGTTTTGTTTATTTGTCACCATCCAGCAAAATTAAACCTCAAACAAATGAGCTGTTGACCATTTTGAGACAAATATACAGTTCATTCCCAGCCTTCTCAGAACAAATGCCTGTTACAATAATTAAAAACTGTTTTCCTAATAGCTTTGTTATTATAAACTTTGCTCTTAAACCACTTACCAGATGTTTACAGTCTTTCTAGGATTATATTCTAATTTCTCATCAATCCCAAAGAATATTATATAATAATTTTTAGCCAAACAGAAGGAAATAGGCATATCTTTTCTAAGATTTAAGAAAAACAAACAAAAATAACCTTCATAGGAAATAAGCCCGCTTTGCCAGAAAAGGAAATTATTAATAGATAAGATATAGAATTTAATGAAGCCCCAAGTTTCTGTCTGCATCCAACAGTTATTGGATAAGACTGAGGATATGGGCTGTCCCCAAGTCAATCTCCAAAGACAAGGATGCTAGGAAACTAGATCTGGAGTGGGATTGCTCCAGGGTTTCAGATTCATTCACATAGAGTTCACGGAAACGATAATCAAAACATGCCTTTGATCCCAATCTGAAGGTCTGAAGATACTTCAAATGTAGGTGTTTTGTTTTGTTTTTCTGGCCATATTGACAAAACTTAAATAAGACTATAAATGCCAGGTCAGTTTTGATCCTTTAAGACCTATAATGACTTGCTGAATTTCCTTTTCCAGCAATCCTTGCTAACAGAGTCTCTTGAGCAACTTTTGTTAGCCTGTTCTGACTGTTGAAGCCAGTCCAATCCTCAGGCAGGAGGAGAGAGAGGAAGAAGTAGAGAAAGACAGAAAGATGCAGAGAGAGAGAAGAAAGAGGTTGGATTCAGTAACCCACCAGCTACTGCTGGGTTACTTGTAACTGGACTCTCTGTCCTGGTACACTGGTACCTCAAAACTGTTAACCATATCTCCAATTCCCCCTAAAAATTCATCTTTGCCTTGTACATCAATGTCCTATTGATTGGATCGTTTCCTTCCTTCAGAGCCCATATTACAACTTGTGTCCTCACAGAGTAAAAGTATCACTCTTCAATGCCAGTCATTCATTCTGAGGCTGTTCTTTAAATTCTTTTCTTTCATACTATCACTTACATGACTGTTGGTCAAGAACAACATCACCCTGCAGCACATCTCTGCCTGGCACACAGTGGTGGCAGCAGCAATGTGCTCAAATGTAACAATTGTGAGGATGGCACAGTAAGAGTAGTGTTTCACTGTTGTGAATGGAACCTCTACGAGTTAGAATCTACTCAACAGCCCCTAACAACAACATAGGTATAAAAATCTTGGATGATTTAGCAGACTTATGTCCTTTTCAAGCAACATTCTAAGTCTACCAGTTTTTCTCTGACTTGTTGGAGACATTAAAGTCTCTGCTTATATCTTAGGCTACCTCTTGCCACCAGACTGATATCTACTTCATCAGTGAGGTGTACTATTAGTGATATTGTCTGATGATTTCCACATTTTATTGGGTCATCTCTTTTGGGAATATGCACAAACATGGGTCTCTTCCAATCAGTTGGGCAGGTCTTTCAAATTTCTTGGCATAGATGAGCGAGTGCCTCCAGTGATGCATATGTTTGTGGAAAGATTTTAATTTGTATTCCATCAATTCCTGGAGCCTTGTTCTTTGCCAATGTCTTCAATGTATCTTGTACTTCTTCCTTAAGTATCATTGGCTCTTAATCATATATTATCTCTTGAAATGGTTGAACATGGGCCATTTCTTTTCAGTACAGTGACTCTGTGTATTCCTTTCATTTTCTTTTTATGCTCTCTGCATCATTCAATATTTTGCCCAAGAGTGCTTCAGTATTGCAGTTGAGGCTTGCATTTTTCCTCAGTTCTTTCAGCATACTGAACATGCTCTTCCCTTTTGGTTTTGTAACTCTAGACCTTTGCACATTTCATCATATTTAACTTTGTCTCCTATAGCTGCCCTTGGACATTTTCTGTTCAGCTCTTTTACCTCCTAATTTCTTCCATTTACTTTAGCATCTTTACACTGGAGAGCAAATTTCAGAGTCTCTTCTGACATCCATTTTGGTCTTTTCATTCTTCCTTGTATTCTTTATGACTTTTTGCTTTTTTCCTGTATGATGTTCTTGATGCCATCCCACAGCTTTTCGGTCATTAGTATCTAATTCATCAAATCTGTTTTTGAGATGATCTCTCTAAATATGTTCAAGGTCATATTTTGGCTCTGATGGACTTGTTTTCATTTTCTTCAGCTTCAGCCTGATCTTGTGTATCAACCAATTGATGGCCTGTTCTACACTCTGCCTCTGATGATATGGAGCTTTTCCACCATGTCTTTCCACAGGTGTAGTCAATTTGATTTCTGAGCATTACATCTACTGAAGTCCATGTGCAGAATTGTTTTTTATGCTGTTTTAAATAGGTATTGGTAATGAATAAGTCAAAATGAATAAGTCTTGCAAAATATGATAGCATCATTTCTATCACCAAAGCTATATTTTCCAACTACAGATCATTCCTCTTTGTTTTCCACTTTTGCATTATAACTACCAATGTATCCTGATTACATGATGATCCATTTCAGATGGAAGAAGTTGGCAGAATAATTTAATCATAGTGGTATTAACTGGTCTTTTTTTGTATGTGTATGGATATTACCCTATCACAGACAATATTGTATGTCAAGATAGACCTTGAAATGTTCTTTTCATGATGAATGTGATGCCATTCTTCTTCAATTTGATATTCTTGTTTTAGTAAACCATGTGATTTTCTGATTCAGAGTGGCCAATACCAGTCCATTTCAGTTCACAAATGCCTAGGATATTGATCCTTATGCATTCCATTTCATTTTTTATAACTTCATATTTTTGTAGTTCATACTTTGTACATTTCCATGTTCTGATTATTAATGGATGTTTACAGTTGTTTAGCCTCATTTTGAGTAGTGTACCACCAACTAATGAAGGTCCCCAAAACCTTACTCCATTTATGTCATTATGGTCAGCTCTACTTTGAGGGAGCAGCTCTTCCCCAATCCTTTCAACTGGAAAGACTCATCTTCCAGCACTATGTGGCAAAGTTCTGCTGCTTTTCGTAATGTTTTCAATTTCTGGTACTATATCTGATAATATTCAGCAGCTGTTTATAAGGTTTATCGGTGGAAAAAAATTCAGAATTAGTCAGCCTTTCCTTATTCCTAGTCTGTCTTAGTTTGGAAACTCCACTGAAACTTGTCTACTCTGGGTGACCCTGCTGGTATTTAAAATAACAGTGGCATAGCTTCAAGCAGCACAGCAGTGCAGCAACATGTAGGCCGTCACAGTATGACAAATGACAGACATGTGGTGGTTTATACTTACAAGTTCAACTAAACTTAGTACTGAACTTTGATATCTCTATTTGTTCCCTAATCATGGCCGTTTGGCTTTATGATCCACATCTGCCCACATTTGCATTAAAATTTTACTGTGAATCTGATCCTAGTACCTCCTTCTGGGGACATGGTATTTGACTTCCTTCCCTGACCCTCAAACAATGTTTTTCTTTGCTTTTAAAAACATTTGGTTGTTAGCCAACCCAGTTTAGTAGGCAAGATAAAGAATAATATTCAATCTATTCTCAGTGTGTAAATGATGTCTTCAAAGATTACTACTTTCTCATTAAGAATATGTTTAATTTTGCTACACTAAGCACTCCAGTTGGTTTAATGAGGAATGAAAAAAGATGGAATTAGATTTAGACTAGAATATCCTGAGGATTAATAGCATTACTAAAGTGGGTGTGGCAAATCTTTTAATTTTATTTTTATTTCTAATTTCAACCAAAAGTTTTTGCTTTAAAAAATTGTAAGGGATAAACTAAACAGATTCTGTTTTTTAACTATCATTCTCAGTTGCATCAACTTTTTCTCTTGAATTGGCGTTTCATTGTGTTATACATAGCGTTGCTATGATTCGGAGCCTACTCAGCAACATCTCACAGCAACCACAATGAAATGCCTAACTGAAGCACTTAGTGTGGATCTCACTGTTAATGGGCTATACTGTTTAATCTGCCAATCTAGAAAAACACTCAAACATATGTAACTGTTAATATTGGATAGTTATTTCTTAGATACTGTGCTAAATATTTCCATGTATTACCTCTTGGGAACTATCATGACCATCCTATGAAATAGGTATGGACATTATTCAAATTGTATTTACATGGAAATCAAGAGTAAAATGACTTACATAAAGTTAAAAAAAATTTTTTTGGTTGTTGCTGTTAAGTGCCATAGAGTTGGTTCTGACTCATCATGACCCTATATGGGGTTTCCAAGGAGCAACTGGTTGGTTTGAACCTCCAACCTTGCAGTTAGGCATTCAATGCTTATCCTACAGTGCCACACCAGGACTACTTTTAAAATACAGGAACCTAGTATTCATATTAGAGACTATCTCCAACACCTAAACTTTTACACCTCTAATGATTCACTGAAGTTCTGATGTGGTGCTACAGGTTAATGCACTGGCTCACGAAGTCAGTTTGAATCGCAAGATCAGCCATTCAAACCCACCAGCAACTCCTCAGAAACCCTATAAAGGGTTGATAGGAGGACCAATCGCTGGAGAAGGATATTATGTGTGGTAAGGTGGAGGGTCAGAGAAAATGACGAAGACCCCCAGCGAGATGGATTGGCCAAGTGGCAGTATTGATGGACACAAGCATGGCAACAGTAGTGAGGTTGGCCCAGGATCAGGCAGTGTTTCGTTCTGCTGTGCATAAGGTCGCTATGAGTCAGTACTGACTTGATGGCACGTAACAACAACAACAACAACAACAAGAAGTCGAAATTGATTTGACAACACTTAACAACAACAATGATTCACTATTTGCCCTTATCTGACTTGTGACAGAGAAGAAAATAATAGAAAAGCCACGGTCTTTCCAGTAATAATAATTTTCTTTCTGTGGCTGTGGATATCTGAAATTGACTAAATATTGGCTTCAGAATATATTCCCTTACTGATGTCTCGAGCAATGTCATTCAGCTGAGTTTTGAAATGACAATTTTATAAGGTCGTCATATGTTTATGATTAGGAGCTTTGGTACTTCAAGTCTAATGAACTATCTGGAGTAATTTCAGCAATAAGGAGCTATAAATCACAAAATAGCTCCTCTAATAACACCTTGTACTATTGTATATGATAATTCAACGTGATATATTTTAAACTGCTTGTATAGTATAGCAATGAGAATATAGACTTATAAAGTCTCAAGACTGGATGGGGCCTGGGAGTGTTGTTGAGTTGATTATAATTCATAGAGACCCCATGTGTACAGAGAATTGCTCCATAGGGTTTACAAGATTGTGGGTTAAGTATTGAGTTGCTAACTTCAAGGTCGGTGGTTCAAACACACCAGCCACTCCATGGGAGAAAAATGAGGATGTCTACTTCCATAACGAGCTCCATAAGGAACTCTGGTAGAGTAGTGGTTATGAATCGGGCTGCTAACCTCAGGGTCAGCAGTTCAAAACTATCAGCCGTTCCGCAGGAGAAAGATGAGGCTTTCTGCTCCCGTTAAGATTTACAGCCTTGGAAACCCTGTACAGGGTTGCTATGAGTCGGAACTGACTCCAAGGTACGTAACAACAACAACAACACTTCCATAAAGATTTATTATTTGGCAAACCCCGTATAGGTCACTATGAGATGGAATTCACTGCATGACAGTTGGTTTTTGGACTGTGAGTGACCTTATGGAAGCAGATCACCAGTTTTGTATTCCAAGGTGCTTCTGGATGGGTTTGAATTGTCAATCTTTAAATGTGTGGCACTTAACCATTCAGGAACTCCTGGGTTATTAATTATTAGAATTAGTTATGATGGTATGATTATATAACCTATGGAATACATTTTAAGAGTATAATTGTTGTTGTTGTTGTTATGTGCCATCGAGTCGGTTCCGACCCATAGCGACCCTGTATAGGGTTTCCGAGGGTGTAAATCTTTACGGGAGTAGAAAGCCTCATCTTTCTCCCGCGGTGCAGCTGGTAGTTTCGAACCGCTGACCTTAAGGTTCACAGCCCGATTCGTAACCACTACGCTACCAGAGCTCCTTAAGAGTATAATTATAATCATATAATTAGAATATAATCATAATCAACTAATTATAATTAATCGTTAGTCTCTTGCCATTAGGATTCTTCTTTTCACAAAGACCCAAAGGCATCTTCATTGGTATCCGTCACTCAGTTTCCTTTTCTACTCACCCTTTATTACTTGTGCTGCACAGCGAGCTTGCAGGTCAGTCGTAGGGATGGCAGCCCCACAGGATTGGACAAGGCCAATCACTGCCATAGTTGACTTCTCTAGTAGAGGGGGGAAGATGTCTTTATATAAGGTGACCTCATTGTTTCTGCTTTTGATGATAGAGTCATCAAGGAAGGGATAAGCATTAGCCATAGACTGTTGCAAAAATGACACAGTCAATGGCCTCAAACACGGTCCCATCCTCAAAACTGGCCGAGGTCTCTGTGAATGCCTTCAGGTTAGGCTTAATGGACACAGTGCCACACAGAATGCAAGCTAGGAGCACATCATTAAACACAGGCTCTTTCTTCAGCGTTCTGGCCGGAAAATAGAGATAACAGCCAGACTTGTAATACTCCCTTTTGTTTCACTGATATTGATATCTGTGTGTAGGTAGAGATACATGGATATGTAGATATCTAGCTTCTATAGATACTCAGGTATTTAATAAGGAATGAAAAAAAAAACTACTCAAGATTTTTTTCTGTGGTTTGGAGTGTTGTTGAAGAACAAAATGACATAAAGCAGCATGATGAAGCAAGATAAATTGTCTTTTTTTGGATCCCTTCTCTCTATTTCTTGCAATCTTTTACTTCTCTACTTGCATGTTGAATGTTGTTAAATGCCCTTGAGTTTATTCCAACCAATAGTGACCCTGTATAGAGTTTCCAAGGAGCAGCTGGTGAGCTTAAACCACCAACCTTGCAGTTCAAATGGCTTTGTAGTCTGACGCATTAGCCCACAGCACCGCACCAGGACTCCTGCATGCCAAATAGGACTCTCAAATTTAACATGTATTACTTCTCATCTTCATTATGTGAACCCTATGCTTGCATACTTGCTCAGATCAAAAACCTTGCAGATATCCATGGCCTCTTTGTTGCTCTTACCCTTTACCAATTTAATAGGAAATCCTGTTTGCTTCTATCTTCAAAATGCATCCGAAACTGATATATTCTGACTTCTGACTGCTAATGAACCTAGTCCAAACCACCATCACTTCTCTTTGGGGTTTTGACAATAGTTTTCTAACTAGTCTTTTTGTTAACTAGTTTTTTTTCCTTCCTCCCTTATTGTACCCTTCTACCTTGAAAGCTCTGGTAGCGTAGTGGTTATGAATCGGGCTGCGAACCACAAGGTCAGCAGTTTGAAACTACCAGCTGTTCCGCGGGAGAAAGATGAGGTGTTCTGCTCCGGTAAAGATTTACGGCCTTGGAAACCCTGTACAGGGTCGCTATGGGTCAGAATCGACTCCATGGCACACAGCCACCACAGCCACCTTGAAAGAACATTGAGAGCACAGCACATTGATGCTCCTTCTGCTCTGTGTAACTTAACTTTGAAGTTATGTGAGAGGCAGTGGAACATCGTGGCTAAGAGAGAGGGCTTTGAAGTCAGCTTATCAGGGTTTGTTGTAAAGCCTGGTTCTGCTTCTTGGCTGTGAGTCTTTGGTAGTCATTAACTACACAAAACCTCAGTTATCTTATCTTTAAAATGGGGTTAGTATTAGAGCACTCTTCGTTAAATTATCTGGGAAGATTAAAAGAGATAATGCATGTAGCAGTCTTAGAACAAGTTCTGACATGTATTTAGAGCATAATAATGATCATTACTCTAGGGACTAACTCCTGATGTATTACATAACTTCCCAGGTGTGCAAATATGATAAGAAGAAACTGGAAAGCATTCTTATTTTTTGCATTCTTTTATCCTTGGAGGTCTGAGATGTTATTACTTTACTGCTGTTGATTTGTTTGAGTGCTTTCTTTCAGTTGGTAACATAGAAAGAAAGATTAACAAACATCTTCTTGACACATTTAAAGGCATCAAGCCATAGTTATCGTGCTTGGACCTTCAATTCATCTGTTTCATGTACCACCAGTCAGAGATGGCAGTTGGTAAGTTGTTTTTGAGGAAGATTGCAAATCGGGTGATAAAAAACATGTCCCAAGGGTAGCCATCATCCCAGACTCTGCTCATCACTCAGGATCCACTTCTGAAGCTGATGATGACCTTTAAAAACACCAATTCAACCCTGAAAGTCATGACTGCTAGAAGTGGATATTGTGTTGTGCCCCCAGGTCCCCTTCTGGACTGGATCTATTAGCCCAGCTGTCCAGAGTTTTGCTAGATGGTAGCCCTCACCTTTCAGCCCTCTTTGAGAGTTGCCTTGGGCAAAGAGAATGGTTTCACCCAAAGTCTTGTACCCTTCTGGTGTCTCTGCATACAATGTCTGGTGGGTGCAGGGCTATAGAGGCCCTGCCCCTCACCCCAATTTGGGGCAACTCCAAAACACCATCTCAACTTTGTTGTTGTTTTGTTAAGTGCCATTGAGTCAGTTTCAATTCATAGCAACCCTGTGTAGGCTTTCTGAGGTGTCATTGGTGTGTTTGAACCACCAACTTTGTTGTTCAAACCAAACTTGCGGTTCAGCACTTATTCTAGAGTGCAGCACCAAAACTCCCTCTACTTTAGAGTAAAGTGCAAGGGAAGCTTCTATCCCTTCCTTTGGAGATACTGAACCTGAGAGCATTCCCTAATAAGCCTCCTATATTTTAATCTGCAGCTCACAATCAAATTCCCAGGGAAACTAACCTATCATAATGTTATAGATAAGTTTTCATATACTAATCAAATCTTTTATGATGTACATGACCACTAACTAAATTCTTGCCATACTTTCCCTAATGCTAATCTAATGGACATTGTCTGTAAAGAAACAATTATGATCTCAAATTATGGCATTTGAATGATAATGTTTAGCACCATCCCAAAAGAAGGCAAGTGATTTGGAATCAGCAAAACTTGGCCTCAGATCCTGATTCTGCCATGTGATTTGGAGTGATTTATTTTAACTGTCATCTTTAGTTTCCTTATTCCTAAAATAGCATAGTGGTTACAAATTGGGCTGCAGTTTGAAACTACCAGCTGTTCCATGGGAGAAAGATGAGGCTTTCTGCTCCCGTAAAGATTTATAGCATCGGAAACCCTGTACAGAGTCGCTATGAGTCAGAACAGATTCCACAGCACATAACAACAACAACAACATAATACTTACCACAGATAATCTGTGAAAGGATTAATACAATGTAATTACTTGTGCAATGTGCCCAGTATTGTTTGTCAGGTAGTATATACTCAATAATCATCAGTTTTCTTCTTGACTCCTTTTTGTTATGTTAATTCCTAACAATATGTTTTTTTAAAGGTAGTTTTACAATTTTGGCTACATAGGTCACTTATGGGGTCCTGGCGTGGCACTGTAGGGTAAGCATTGGATTGCTAACTATAAGGTTGGAAGTTCAAACCCACCAATTGCTCATTGTAAACCCTATACAAGATTGCTGTGGATTGGAATCAACTCTATGGCATGTAACAATAACAATCATAATGTCATTTCTTTAGATACTTCTTGAAATGCAAGCTGGTCAAATAACAAGAGACTGAAGGATCAATTTGTGAGAGTCTCTGAACTTAGTCTTTTTTCCCTCTGATTTATTTTGTATACAACCACAGGAGAATCTCTTTAAACTATGGTTTCATGGTATCTATCAGTAGCTCCAAAAGCAGAAATTATTTATTATTATTTATGATAAAATAAACATTTCTTTAGCCTTTCAAGTCCTTAAAATATGACATAACTTGACTCTTCATTTTTCCCATCTCAGTTTCCACAACTACTCTGCTTCATAGAATCAGGAGACCTGACTATTAGTCTTCTAACACATCAGCTTAAACATTAATTTCCTCTATGACATTCAGGAACACAGTGGACATCTATAGTCCTCAGTATTCTTTTCTGTAAAATGGATAGAATAAAACTTGGATTTCTTTCTTTCAACAAAGTAACTAATTTGTATGAAGATACTCAAGTATCATATGCATTTTACAAATGAAAAATGTTAATATTAAGAAACTCCATCCCAGAAAAACAAATCTGTAATGTGCCCACTCTTTCCTTATTGACGTGGTTAGATTCCAAAGCCCAGGTCATTATGCAAAAATTAGTATTATGTGAAAATGGAGGATGATTACATCATTACACGACTGCCAAATTATATCATTACATCATTGCCAAATCATTGTCAACTGAGTCAAGTTGACATAACCTTAACCATCACAACCAGCGATACTCTCACCTTCCACTTCAGCATTTACGACTGCCGAATGCACATCATTAATACACAAAATAGTTGGGTAGTAGATGTTTTTTCACTATGGTTTTCAATGCAAAGTGTTGGGTAACAAGATTGTAGTAGAACATTGAGGGGTTGTTGTTGTTGTTAAGTGCCGTCAAGTCAATTCTGACCCATAGCAACCCCAGATAGGGTTTCCAAGGAGCGGCTGGTGAGATTGAACCACTGACCTTGAAGTTCAAACAACTTTGCAGTCTGACGCATTAGCCCACAGCGTCACAACAGAACTCCACACTGAGGGGTAGGTATAATAAAATACACAGTACACTTACCTGTCTCCATAACTGCTCATGTTGTTCTATCTGTCTGGAACATTCTCTGCTACCTCTTCAGCTTTGACTTATATTTATCACTTCAGACCTAATTCCGGTATACCCCCTTCTGTAAGTCTCCCTGATCACCACAGTTTATAGTTCTGTAATCATAGTATTTAGTGCCTGAATCACTCATTTATCCTTTTTTTTCTAGTGGCAGCTCTTGTACAAACTTCATTGCTTTCTATTTAAACTTTGAGGTTATGTTTAATTTATGTCCATATATTATTTTCCCAACTAGATTTTAAGCTCCTTGAGGAGATAATCTACATAGTTAATTTCTGTGTATATCTCCCTGCTGTCTAGTATAGTGCTGTGAACAGATAGTTAAAAAACAAAGTAGCTGTAGAAATGACTGACACATAGTGACCGTGACCCCGTGTGTGTTAGAGTAGAACTGTGCACCATGGAGTCTTCAATGGCTGATTTTTAGAAGTAGATTGATAGGCTTTTTTTTCAAGGCACGTTCAGGTGTTCTGTATCTACAGTCATCTGACTGAGTGCATTAACTGTTTACACTTTGCAGGGACCCTGAACAGATAGAAATATATTTTTATATCATGTGTTCAGTTGTGTTCTCTTCACTTCCCTCATTTTAATACCACAATGCATAATTAGGCCTATGTTAGAGACTGTAATGGATGGGATTATGTCCTCCCCAAATCTCTCAACTTGGCTAGGCAATGATTTTTAGTATTATATAATTATCCTCCATTCTGTGATCTGAGGTAATTATTCAGCACTACAAATTCTAACCTCTATGATGTTAAAAAAGCAAGATTTGAGGTAGCTATGTTAATGAGGAGCCCTAGTATGGTGCTGTAAGATAAGCACTGGACTATAATGTTGTTTTAAACTCAAGATCGGTGGTTCAAACTCACCAATCACTCCTCGGAAACCCTATACAGAATTGCTGTGAGTAAAAACTGACTTGACAGCTCTTAGCAACAACAACGTTAATGAGGTAGGATGCAATCTATAGAATTAGATTGTATCTTGAATCATGATACAAGATATTTAACAAGGGAGCAGGGAGAAGGGACCTGACCACCACTCAAAAGGAATTAGGAGCAGGCCACATCCTCTGAACCCAGGGACCCTTCAATGAGAGCCTCCTAGACCCAGGAGAAGGAACGGCGGACCCATAACCTTCCTCCAGAACTGACAGACAGCCTTCCCCTAAAGATATGAATCCAGACTTCTAAACTTCACTTTGAGAGGTTAAACTTCTGTTTGTTAATACCTTCTGCTTGTGATGTTTCTGTTTCAGCAGTACTTGAGAACTAAGATAGCCTAATTACATCAGTAGGAATTACAACTGAAGATAAGATTCCATGTAGGCCGCAGGTCAAATTCTCTCTTCAGAAAGTCGAATTTTGGGGGGAGTGAAGCACAGATGGATAAAATGATTCTAATTGTTCATTCTAGTGGTGCTTTCTAGGGGAGAATACTGAGTGGTTCTTGCTGTTGAAACACTCTGCAATAGCCTTAGTCCACTCTGTTCCTAAAAGACTATCTCAAGACTTTTAATTTAATTTTTAAGATTTCTCAGCTAAGTCTTAGTCAATTTCTATGGCTGATAAGCAGAAAACCTAAGTGCTAAAGTAGAGAGTTGATTATACATACATACACACACACACACACACACACACACACACACACATATATATATATGAAGGGTTTCTGAGGAGCAGCTGGTGAGTTTGAGCCATTGACCTTGTGGTTCAAACCAACCTTGTGGTCCAGTGTTTATCCTACAGTGCCGCATTAGGACGCCATATATACATTATTTTTTTGTTGTTGTTATGTGCATTGAGCCAGTTCTGATTCATAGTGACTTTGTGTAGGGTTTCCCAGGCTTTAAATCTTCATGGGAGCAGAAAGCCTCATCTTTCTCCTGTGAGGCGGCTAGTGGGCTTATACCATGGACCTTGTGGCTTGTAGTCCAGTATTTATAATATGGAGGCATTGTATTTTCCATACATGTACACACACACACATATATTTAGTTGCTGTCAACTCAGATCCAACTCATGGCAACCTTATGTTTCCTGGTCCTGCATGGTCTTCATGATCCTTGTTATGTTTGAGTCCGTTGTTGTCTCTATAGAGTTAGTTTATCTCATTAAGCATTTTTCTCATTTTTGTTGGCTCTCTCTTAACCAAAGATGTCCTTTACTAGCAATAGGTGTTTCTTAAAGAAATTTCCAAAGTGCTGTCATCGTTGCTTCTAAGGAGCATTCGGATTGAATTTTATCTAAAATCGTCTTTTGTTTTTGTTTTTTTAAATTGTAAATTATGTGGGTTTACATGGGAGAACATCAGTTTTACCTTCATCCTACCCTATTTCGTTTCACTGCAATGATTGCAGTCCCCTCCAAGCATCATCAGATAACCCCGTAGGCCTGCTCCCAGCCACCAGCACACAGCCCCTCTCCGTCCCTGACTCCAGTGTCCCCAGCCACTCCACCTATTCATGTCATCGTCTGTCTCCATTTCTGGCATCGCTGCTTCTCTGGGTAGGGTCCTGCAATCC